TCCTATATATATATATATATATATATATATATAGGGTGTATAAGCTTAAATCCGCTATTTGCTCATAGGTGGCATTAGTGAGCGTATAAAGCTACCCTGGACACACAACATACTTTTTTTTATGTGTTTGACATCTGTCATTAACCAGTGCACATCATCAGCAGTTTCATACAACATACATTTTTCTTTCGTAATCATGTCTAGTTTTTTGCTAAAAAAAAAATATATGTGGGAAGCTTTGCTTTTCTGTTTCAATTTGAAGAAATCGGCTGCCGAATCGCATCGAATGCTTGTGGAGGCCTATGGCGACAATGCTTTATCGGAAACAACGTGCAGAGATTGGTTTCACCGGTTCAATGACGACAATTTTGACTTGAGTCACAAGAAGCGTGAAAATCGGCCCAGGAAAGTTGAGGATTGTCAATTGCAAGCTCTTTTGAACGAGGACGATATCCAATCGCAAAAAATGCTTGCCGAGCAATTGGATGTTTCTCAAGCAGCCATTTCCATGCGGCTACATGCCATGGGGAAGGTTCAAAAAATCGGAAAATGGGTGTCGCATGAACTGAACGATAGGCAGATGGAGCGACGCCAAAACACATGCCAAATTCTGCTTGCCAGACAAAAAAAAAAGTCGTTCCGTTGCATCGGATTGTGACAGGCGATGAAAAGTGGATCTATTTTCAGAATCCTAAATGCAAGAAACCTTGGGTTGATCCCACCCAACATCTTCCACAAGACCAAATCGCTTCGGACGGAAGACGATGCTGTGCGTTTGATGGGAGGGTGTCATCTACTACGAGCTGTTAAAACCTGGTGAAACTGTTAATGCTCACCATCACCACCAACAACTGATCAAATTGCACCGTGCTCTGCATGAAAAAAGGCCGCATTATCGGAAAAGACATGACAAGCTGATTTTCCTCCGATAATGCACCATTACACCCGTTAACAATGGTTCAAAACTACTTGGAGACACTCAAGTGGGAAGTTATGCTACCCCATCCCACTTATTCATCAGACCTGGCACCTTCTGACTATCATCTTTTCGTCGATGGGCCACGCGCTCGTTGAGCGACACTTCGATTCTTACGAAGACGTCCGAAAATGGCTTGATGAGTGGTTTGCCTCGAAAGATGAGGAATTTTTTTGGCGTGGTATACATAAATTGCCCAAAAGATGGAAAAAATGTATAATTAGCGAGGGCAAGTACTTTGAATAAATTTGTTTTTGCTTTCTAGGAAAAAAAATGTGTTTTTCTGACTAAAAAACAGCGGATTTAAGTTTATACACCTGATATATATATTAGGTGTACAACTTTGCTTCCGCCGTTTTTTTTTCGAAATTCGAGGCTTTATTGTAAAAAACTGGTTATACATTTATGATTCAAAGTATTGTCCATCGCTGGCCACTACTTTCTCCCATCTTTCGGGTAGCGTACGAATCCCGCGTCGAAAAAACTGGTCATCTTTTGAGGCTATCCACGAATCGATCCAATTTTTTACTTCTTCATAAGACCGGAAGTGCTGGTCAGCCAGGCCGTGTGCCATTGATCGAAACAAGTGATAGTCAGAGGGAGCAACGTCTGGAGAATACGGCGGATGGGGTAGGACTTCCCATTTCAACGTTTCCAAGTATGTCTTGACCACTTTCGCAACATGAGGTCGAGCATTGTCATGCTGCAAAATCACTTTATCGTATCTCTCGTTGTATTGCGGCCGTTTGTCTTTCAATGCTCGGCTCAAACGCATCAATTGCATTGGATACCGATCGCCTGTGATTGTTTCAGTCGGTTTTAACAGTTCATAATACACTACGTCGAGCTGGTCCCACCAAATATAGAGCATGACCTGGGACGTCAAAATCACCGTTCTTGAAGCGTTGAAACCACTCACGAAACCACTTCTTTCACTAATAGCGGCCTCACCATAAGTATTTGAGAGCATTCGATGAGCCTCAGCCGCAGATTTCTTCACATTGAAGCAAAAAATTAAAACCTCCCGCAAATGACGAGAATTTGGCTCGTAAACTGACATTTTCAATCGAGACTAACTTTATGATGCAGACACAAATCGACTAATGTTTCTATGGGGTTATGTTAACAGATGCCCAAGTTTATTCTATGATCTATTTATTTCGACCACCACTTACCGCTAAAGCCATCTATAGGAAAACGGCGGAAGCAAAGTTGTACACCTAATATATATATATATATATATATACTGAAATAGATTAATCTTTTTCACATATTATTATTCACATTTGACAGTATAAAGTAAGACATATTTTTTAAATCAAAACTAAACAAAACAAGGTTAATAAATAAGATAAATTATTTAACCATCGCTTTATACTAAAAAAAAGATTTTATTTAAGTACATGCTAACAATATAGAATATTTTTAATCTGTTTTATTTATAGAAACGAAAATGTTATAAAATTATTTTTGTTAAATCTTAAAGCATGCATGCTTTCATTAAGGATCTCTTAATCGACTCGACTGAAGTCTGAATATCTACATGATGAAGCAAATCTGATTTTTGCTTATTGGCGAATTATACTTATGTTAACTGTTATACAAAATGATATTATTAATATTTGAAAATAATATTACAGAAAAGAGATACACACAAAGATGACTTATATATACAGTCATTTGACTTAGTGAATATATCAATCTATGTTTAATACACACCTTTACAAATATCTATATTACCTATTTATATGTGTATGAATATTTATTTAATGAATTAGTTATCAATTAGCTTTCAATGTAGGTATTATTTAAAAAATTCATAATTAAATTTAAATACCCACAGAAATAATTAATTAATTAATTTCATAATCACACACACACATTTATTTCTATTTCTGGTTTTTACCATAACAGCTGATCATAATACCGAATAACACATAAGAAAAATAGATCTATCAATGATAGATCAAGTCGTGAACACAGCTCTATCAAGTCCCTCCCTGAAATTTATGTTACTGTTGCTGCTCTTAACAATTTTAACGGGTTTCGTAATTGCGAAGATGTTTACAGCGAATTTCAACTCGGCAACTAGTATTTCCCACGGCATGATCTGTACGAAAAATGATAATTAAGTTCCTCCTTAGTATATTGCAATGATATGATGATGCAGTAATTAATTTATTAAAGGCATATAATACATAATAAATATAGTTAAAATTCACGTATTATATTTTTTTTACAATTTACAATAAAAAGAAAAAAATTTTATTGTACATTAAGTTTTTGAATGCTTCTTTTTCTTAAAAAGAAGAAAATTAATTTATTTTATTTATTGTATTTATCACAAATTTAATATAAAGAACAAGATAAAGTGAAGATTTACCTTCTCTGTCACAGCGACTTTACGTATATTCCACAGAAATTCGCAAATTGCAACAAAGAACGAAGCGCTGCAACCACATATTAGAATGAAGAATGCACCTCCGAGACTTGCCATCCCTGATTCGTATGTGCTTGTATTCTTTTCCATTTCATCTTTTTTGCATAAACCTCCTCCCTTATTTCTCCACCATTTTATCTTCAAGTTTTGCAGTATACCTTTCTCTTTTAATTTCAGGATCGCTTGGTCAATAGATGTTCTGTATGGAGAATCTGTAGAAGAGATGCAAGAGAAATGGTTTTTATAAAGATAAAGAAATATGGAAAAATATTGTAGTGAAGTTATATTACTGCGTGGCATAGCAATGCCGTAACCTCTGTTTTCAAACATATTGCCTATTTTAATTATGTCGCATTTGCGCTCCGTATTATATTCAATAGCAGCACTTTCCATGAAAAAGGCATATTTACCCGTGAGAACTCGGTCAATGCCTGGAACGTATTGTAACAGAAAATTAATATATTTGAAAAATAGAATTCAAAAAAGAAAAAATTTATTTTTTTCGAATAATGTAACCCTTTTTGAAGAAAGAAGGTTTTTTTTATGTCTGTGTTTTATGTCTGTGTTATGTCATGTGTTTTTCATATAGGTGATGCATGTTCGATTTTGGAATTATGCACCTTCTTCATAATTTGATACGAATACGCTTGGTTTAGAATTCGCCATTGCAGCCCATATTTGTTTGTACGTTGAGTAATTTGAATTCTACAATTAGATAATATTGAATCATATTTGTAAGTTATTTTTATATTGAGCCAAATATCATAAATAAGCTGCTGTGTACTTTGAAAAATGTTGCTATGTGGCTATCCTTTACTACACCATATTTAATTTTTGTCTGTTTAGGCAGGTCTTCAATTCCTTTAATAGGTATGTCCATTTTCTCCTTAGTGAGAAAAGCGGCTAGATTCGCTGTATATAAGCTATATATGATCAAAGTAAAGAACCACCACATGCTTACAAGCATGCGCAGAGATGATGCTCTACAATGAAAGTGATTTTATTAATGTGTAAATACTGTAATAGTTTAAAACATTTAACTCTTGGTTAAAAAAATAATTTCTTCAATATTTAAAATATGTTTATTAATTATAATGCAATGATATCATATTGAAACTTACTTGGGCAGTATGTTTGAACCTCGTTGCATAAAAGAACTAATAGTTAAGAAGAACGAGTTTCTGAAGTTAAAATTATTTTTTAGTTCTTCAGGATCATTGCATAAAGGATGCGGATTGTTCCATTTATCAGGTGCCATTCTTAAGAAAGAATTGAAATTTACGAAATACAAGTTACATTTTTTTTAATGATTATCTTCATTCTATAATACTAATTATAGTATTAATTTTCGTATTTTTTGAGAAGGATAATTTTTATTTCATTTTTTTATTACTTTATAATTTTATTTAAAATTTTATTTAAAATTATGAAATATTTTGTTTCTAAAAATTTTACCTTGTCTGAACAAATAACATTATCGATACGACAAGATAAGCAATAGCCACGTAGAGCCATACTTCTGTAGATAAAGGTAACAAGAAGGGGAAAAAAGGTGGCGTTTTCTCTTCTGGTTTGCTAAACACAATGCTGTAACCTAATTTAAAAGAAAATT